CTGGATGTGTTCGCCGAGTGGTTAGATTTCGTGGGTTTCCCGGCTAGCTGTGTGCGCCGGGTGGTCCCGCTCGGCTGGATGTGTTCGCTGAGTGGTTAGTTCTCGTGGGTCTCCCGGCTGGATGTGTTCGCCGGGTGGTCTCGCTCGGCTGGATGTGTTCGCCGAGTGGTTAGATTTCGTGGGTTTCCCGGCTTGCTGTGTGCGCCGGGTGGTCCCGCTCGACTGGATGTGTTCGCTGAGTGGTAAGTTTTCGTGGGTTTCCCGGCTAGCTGTGTGCGCCGGGTGATCCCGCTCGGCTGGATGTGTTCGCCGAATAGTTAGACCTCGTGAGTACCCAGGCTGGCTGTGTGCGCCGGGTGGTCCCGCTCGGCTGGATGTGTTCGCCGAGTGGTTAGATTTCGTGGGTTTCCCGGCTTGCTGTGTGCGCCGGATGGTCCCGCTCGGCTGGATGTGTTCGCTGAGTGGTAAGTTTTCGTGGGTTTCCCGGCTTGCTGTGAGCGCCGGGTGGTCCCGCTCGGCTGGATGTGTTCGCTGAGTGGTAAGTTTTCGTGGGTTTCCCGGCTAGCTGTGTGCGCCGGGTGGTCCCGCTCGGCTGGATGTGTTCACTGAGTGGTAAGTTTTCGTGGGTTTTCCGGCTTGCTGTGTGCGCCAAGTGGTCCCGCTCGGCTGGATGTGTTCGCTGAGTGGTAAGTTTTCGTGGGTTTCCCGGCTAGCTGTGTGCGCCGGGTGGTCCCGCTCGGCTGGATGTGTTCGCCGAGTAGTTAGATCGCGTGAGTACCCAGGCTGGTACCCAGGCTACCCAGACAGTAACCCCCTCCCCCCAGTAGGGCGTGTTATACACAGACCCCAGTGGGACGCGGGTTAACCCTATTCCTGGCGGGCTCCGCCGGGACAAGAAACTGGCGGGGGGGGGGCGATTCGGCCCCCCCTGAGATCTCGAGAACGAAGCAAGATAGCGACAAGCAGTAAACGGCATCGGATACGCATGGACAAGGTCTACAATTTTTAAAAGGGCATTTTCAGGTCAGGTCAAAGATGACGTCACAGGGGTCGAAAAACTCAAAATGGCGGCGCTAGATATGGAGAGAGTTTTTCTCAAATAACTTTCGAATTAGTCAAGATAGGAACAAACTAAGGGCATCATCGTGATCCTCTCGTCAATCCGCATCGAATGATATATATGTTTACCTAAAAAGGTCAAGGTCAAAGGTTGACCTCAGGTCACGTGACCTCGAGGTCATCATGTATATCATTCGATGCGTCTTGACGAGCTGAACACAATGAAACCATCCACGCGTCTGTATCTTGTTCCTGTACGGAGTTATTGGCCAAAAACCTGTGGTGACCTTTGATGACGTCACATGACCTCACAGCTGCCCAACAGCAAAACAGACCTCAATGTAGTGAAGGTTGATCGTATATGAAGTCATGTATGGTATATGGGGCCATTCCGACCCGTTTTAGTGGCAAAAACAGGGAGTTGATTTTTCCCCCATTGACTTATAATGGGGAGGTCGCGAAACTGACCTGACCTTAGGTCACCGATATCAAAATTCCGAGATATGCAAATTGCACATACTGGTACCCTAACTAAAGCCTGAAGAGAAGAAATTGATCGGTCAAAAACTCTAGCTATGGCGTGATTGCAAACTTTTCTGAGGTAGGGTCACCAAACCGCCTCTGGTGACCTGACCTGAGGTCAGATCAACTCAAAATTTTCAGACATGTTGCGTAGAAGCCTTTTAGGAAAAGTCAGAAAATTTGAGCTTCCTAGCTCAACGCGTTTGGGAGAAATAACCAAAAAACCTCAGGGGGGGGCTCCTGAGCCCCCCCCCCGCCAGGAATAGGGTTAAACAATCGCCAGTCAAAGCCAACCGTTGAGATTGGTAAAACCCTACATTACTTTAGCGGTGGGCTGTACCTATTGGGACACTCGGCACAAACTTTATCAATCCTCTCGTATGTCTGAGGCAATGGTCATGGAGGCGAGGACCGCTGCAGCCACGGTGGACTGGCGGCCGGGGTGACGTCACTGCTGACCCTTAGGTCACTGAAGGTCATCGAAAATCAAACCGTTCAAACACATGGAATAGTTTTGACAATTGCATTTGCAACTAGCAATGTGTAATGTGTATGTACATGTACCGTAGATCTGTTTCACCTTCTCAAATTTCACTAACCTGACCATGAAGCAACAGGCTGTCATGATCATGTGACCTCAACCGGGCAAGTCGCGTCAGCTCTATTTTGCACAGTGTTTTCCAGATTGGATGATGTCACCGCCCCCCCCCCCCCGGACCGACATCACGCCAACCGCACCATCCTGCCTGCGGCTATAAGGTATACGGCGGTGCCATCCCTCCTATCTGACGTCCTTCCTGGCCAGCTGCGGCTGCAGTGGCCGTCACCCTTCCTGTGTTGGACGCGGTGGTTCGGAGCAGCGCTATCGGTGGAGTCCGGTGTGGGTCGTCGCTTTTGTATAGGTTACTCGTATTTCGTTCTGATATTATGTACATTGCTTCCAGTAGCCCACATATTCAATTGCTTCGATGTAACGGTTCGTTACACAGATTCCCATCACCACACCGACAGCTGGCCTTGTGTCCGGTCATCGAAAGATGGGGATGGGCACGGCTGTTTATATAGTATTTACAGAGCTTCACAACAATGCACAATACATGTGTCATGAAAAAACAGCCCATAAACAACATCAGGTGTTCGGAGAGCCAACATCAATGTCACCATCAATGTATAGCATTAGTCATTAAAACTACATCTTGCAGTCGTAAAAACAACACATAACTTGTATCAACCATGACTATACAAACGCTATACGCATTACTAACATCGCCATCACATGAGCACTGACCTTATAAGCATTAATGAAAATGCAACTGGTCTCGTTTTATCAATCTCAGCACCTACACTACCGACATATTTCCACCATGTCTGGTGCTACAAATATCTCGCTCTCGACATGTTCTCCGTAGTGGCGCCTCCCTGAGTTTGTCACCGTGACTCCGCTGATATCCTGAAACACAAACAGAGCAGGCTTGTATAAGCAAATATGAGGCTGGCCTTAGACAACCGAAACAACATGAAAAATACAATACACATATTTACTAGTACATATTTATTAACAGTATTTTCTCGTTACAATGTACATAATGAAAACGTGGAACACTACAAAAAAATCAATTAAGAAATCACCTCACGCCGGTCACTGTGGGTGGCGCCGCTCCTGGCGGTGCCGCCGGCGGCTGAGGCGCCGCTCCAGATCCTGCCGCTCCTGCCGGTGACGTCTCCTCTGCTCTTCCAGCTCCTGGTTGTGCCGCTCCTGGAGCTGGATGAGCTGCTGGCGGTGTCTTCGCGTCACCTCTATCAGGTTCCGCAGGTGTTGACAGCGCCGGCTCGGCTGCCGCTCCTGCTGTCGTGGTTCTGGTTCATGTTGTTCTTGTTGTTGACGTCGTCGTCGTCGTCGTCGTTGTTGTTCTTGTTTTTGTTGTTCTAGTTCTTGTTCTTGTTGTTGCTGTTGTTGTCGTCGTTGTTGTTGTCGCTTTTGCTTGTCTGAAATAAGAAGGACAAGACTTACAAAGATCCTGAATGAAAAGGTTGTAGGGTGCTTCTATTTATTTTCAAATAGTTTCCGGATATAAAATCAACATAGGATATGTAAAGCACGTGACTGCGCACATGATTTAGCTGCAAAATTGTTGACAAGCAATGTTATTTAACAGTAAAGCTTACCACGCTCAACTGACTTATCCTCCTCCTTCTCCACTTTCAGGTTCCTCTTCACCTTCCTGCTTTCCTTCTCCTTCTCCTTCTCCTTCTCCAGCTCCTTCTCCAGCTCCTTCTCCAGCTCCTTCTCCAGCTCCTTCCGCAGCTGCCGACGCCTCCTGCTGCACTCCTCCATCAGCTGATCCAGCTCCTCCCCGGACTGCATGTTCGGGTATCTCTCCTCCAGCTCTTGTGACTCCCTGAGGTGTTTCTGTTTCAGTTTGTTCCACTGCGTTTGGACCTTCTGCTCCAGGTCTTCCCACTCTATTTGGTGCTGTCGCTCCAGTACCGCGCACTGCCTGCGGTTCATCCGGTCCAGCAGCTCCAGATGCTCTTGACATCTCTCCGGCTCCGCCTGTCCCTGATACTGCATCTCCACGCGTCTGGTGTCACTGTTGTGCTCCTGATGGAGACATTTCAGCTCGCCATGGTGCAGCATTTCCATGCTCCGCCACTTTCTGTCATGAATCCGCTCCAGACGCCGGCGCTCCTCATCATGCTGCTGGTTGAGACTCCTCCTTTCCCCGTGACCCCGCCGCTCCAGCTGCTGCCACAGCTGCTGGTGATGTCGCTCCAGTTGCTGCCATTTCTCTCGCTGAGGGCTGGGCAGACCCCTTGATGTCTGGTCCTCGTCTGTGCTGCGCCGCTCCTCGCCACCGGCATGACCGTCGTTGTCATCCTGCTCCGACCCTGAAACATACCAATTGGGTAGACAGTAGCCGTTTTCACGACGGGCTATCCGGTAAATGCACCTGATTCAGATTTGATCAAATATGCACCTAATCTCTTTTACTGCAAAAATCTTCATTTTAGCAATTTATTTCAGTGCTTTAATCGGTGATGCTCTCTGATAATATGACAAGGCAGGCATATAAGCAATTAGTGAAACTCTAGCTGATAGCTGCTTAGAGACACACTAAACATGATTTGACCAGATCTGCACCTAATCTGCACCATATGTGCACCAAATGTGTACCAGATGGCCGTCGTGAAAACGACTAATATCAGCTGGATGGGCGTTCAACAGACGAACTGCTTAGCACTAAACAACCAAAAATCAATGGTAGAATGAATAGACAGGATCTGGTCTCGGGAAGATTGGACGCATGTCGATTTTCATCCATTGCACTAGTTAGGTATTTCTCCACCACTTCTTGAATGACGCTGGACGCAAATGAAACGACGGAATTTAGCATTGGGTGGCGTCACTATCGTCTTACCCTCTGAGTCGGCCTCGTGCACCGCCAGGTAGTGCGACGTCATCTCCCACCGGTCCGGCCACCAGCCGGTGATAGCGTTGTACATCGTCCGCAGCCGGTCACCGGACAGCAGCTGCTGCAGCCGGCGGCGCCAGAGGCCGGCCGTGGCGTCCACAGTCGCGGCGTCCATCTCTGGTAGATCGTCATGAAGCCACTCATGCAGGTTAGTGTTGATGTGCTGCTCCAACTTCTCCCGAGTCTCCTGGTATGTACGCATTGGTCGGTAGTTTTTCATCCAACTGTTCTCCTCTGCCCGGTCTATATCCCGCCACCAGGCCATTTTACCCGGAGCGTTCACTCGGACAGCCTGCAGTAGCAGCTCGGGCCGCAGCAGCAGCTCGGCACGGCCCCGCGGCGTGTCCAGCTCGGCGGTCAGTCCGGCCGGCCGTTCCTCCAGCGGCCCCCGCAGCTGCTGGCTACACCAGGTGGCCACCTTGTCCGGGTCACCCAGCAGATACTCCAGGTCAGATCTGGTGAGGAGTTGCATCAGGGGGGCCACGTCCAGCGTGACGATGTCATTGAACGGTGACGTCATCGGCGTCCCGTCAAGCAGGTCTGCCGAGTCGACCACCACCCATGCCATGAACAGATAACATTGCTGTCGGAATGCTCCTGATTCGGGGTAATGCCACCACTGTAGTAGAAGTGGTGCCGTGTGGACCAGCGGAGGGATGGTCTGTTTCCACCACCACTCCCAGCACGGGGCTGTGTGGCGGTAACCGACACCGTCAAGTACTGCCTGTCGTACGAGCGTCCTTCCGAGTAGGAGCCGCAGCTGGGACTCTAGATGGCGCTCCGTTAGGGACTCTAGCCCGCCCTCCAGCAGCATATCCACGTTCCACTGATCCACACAGCTTGCCATCAGGAGAAGCGCGACATGCTCCCTCATCAGCCGTACTGCGTCAATGATAGCCCGCCGTTCTACGGTGCTGAGTTCAGCTGCCACATCGATGTTATGATCGAAAAAACACGGCATTTTCCCGGCGTTCAATTTGTCCTCCAGCCAGTCAAGTATTTTGTTGACACCGTCGGTGACGCCTTTCCACATTGAAGCTGGCGTGATTTGAGCCAGCCACAGCCCGGCCGTTTTTATAAAGTATGACTTCAGCGGTACATCGTCGCTCATGGCCTCGTTCTTTTTAAAAGTATTTTTCATGGCTTTTACTGCCACAATAGCTGCTCGTATGACTGGAGCTAGGTATCGAACCGTGATCACCTCCGCCCGTGAATAGGAAATCCGAAACTCGATAAACACGGTGTCGCTGCCGGGCCGGCCGGTCGGCACAAGGTGTACTCCAAATCGTCGGATGTCGGCCCTCGCCGCCGCTGGCGGGAAGTCCACCTCCAGGTGATAGTCGTCGACCTGGTCTTCAGCCGGCCACCATCCGCGCATAAGAATGCACGGCACAAAGTCAATGCCACCGTCTGTAACATCATCTGATCTCTTGATGTTGACAGCTGGTCCGGCAGTGCTGATTTTGCCGCCTCTCATAGTCCGACATAATTCCACCATTTGCCGACGGATGGAGTCGGCCGGCAGTGCCTCCAGCGGCTTATCATGACAGCATTTAGTCGTTTTGACCCAGTGCAGCGTCACAAAGCCAGGGTTTTTGGTCGGTCGAGCCCACACCTGTGGTGCAGACTGTGGAGTAATAACGGCCGTCTCCTCTCTCTTTCCGGGCGCCGCCCAGTGGAATGGTCCGGCGAACTCGAACATCAGATCAAAATCAGACGTTCCCCCTCGGCCGACTATCCCGTCCGTCAGCCCCTCGGCACTGCTGCCTGATGGATTGATGGAGGCCACTCTGAGTGGCTGGTTGGGCTGGCAGTACCGACACCGGGCGGCGGAGGCGTCACTGATATCCTGCAGGGCTGCCATGAGTGGATAATCTACCAGCCCGGTGACAGTGTGGCTTACCTCAGCCTCGGTACAGTAGGCCTGCAACCTGGTGGAGTGGTTGCTCCGAATGTCATTTGTCAACAGCAGTGTGTCGGGGATGAGTTGTGCACACGATCCATACTTGTCCGCTAGTTTCCTCACTCTCCAGTCAAAGCACCGTTCCAACCTCCTCTTCCGCTCCGCCTTCCCCACACCGAACAAGTCAGCTCGTGACATGGCTGCCGGCTGCTCTGACTCTCCCGGACTGACTGAGGCCGGCCGACGTCGCTGTAGATATATACCGACCCCGACAGGAACACAGATAAGAGGGAACGCTCTGTGGCCGAGTCCGTCCAGTGACAGCGACTGACGCGATGCAGTGGTGAAGTCGGTGGCAGCGCTTTTGTTGGAGGTATAGTTTGATGTAAATCCACGTGTCCTTGTGTTGTCACTAGTACTGAGAGGTCTAATAACGTAATATTTCTCGGATTTAGGACATGTCGTTTATAAACAGCGTTCAAATCTCCGACTGTACCTAGGTTCGACTGGGTCTAGGCCCTGGCCTAGGGTGTACGGTAAGGTGTTAATTGACACCCAAACACCGGTTCCCTTACACCGCATCCGTCGATCTTCCGTTACATCCGTTGTCATACTGCTAAGTGCTAACGACGACACCAGTTTTGAAGTATGGACCAGAATGATGTTCACGTGATAAGGGCACAGCCCGAGCCCCGGAAATAATCGCTATGTTTCACGAAAAAAATGGCTTGATGCCCATAGCCCTAAGGAAATCACAATTTTGACTTCTTCTCCGAGAAGTTTAAACGTAGCATTGATCCTTCCGTTGTCGTACGCACATACAGGACAATTTTTCACGTATATGCAGATATTGTGCATGCTGTTACGTCCAATCGCCATTCTGGCCTGACATGGTCTCGAGAGATGTGATTGCCCAATGGTTATTGCTATCAGGGTCATTCGATTTTCAGTTCGAGAAGTTGTAGAATCGATGACCACGATGTCACTCAAAGTTTTGTCACCTTCCTGCTATTTTACATGAGCTATATGTGGAAATCCGAAAGGGGGATCTCCCTGCTCAGTGTGATGCTGTAAATAAAAGTACAAATGTCAGAACTGGACTGTTCGGACAGCTCTGACACTGGCTATCCTCAACTAGGAGGTATTTTGAGCTGGATGTCACCCGTGGTGACGTCATTCAGTGATCTCTGTCCCATTCACTCACGGTGCTGTACAAAACGCTGCGGAGTCCGGGTGTTCTGTGGGTCAGTGATCCACAGCCCGTGGCGGGTCAGGTGTGCTGTGGGTCAGTGATCCACAGCCCGTGGCGGGCCGGGTGGTCTGTGGGTCAGTGATCCACAGCCCGTGGCGGGCCGGGTGGTCTGTGGGTCAGTGATCCACAGCCCGTGGCTGGCCGGGTGTTCTGTGGGTCAGTGATCCACAGCCCGTGGCTTGCCGGGTGTTCTGTGGGTCAGTGATACACAACTCGTGGCTGGCCGGGTGTTCTGTGGGTCAGTGATCCACAGCCCGTGGCAGGCCGGGAGTTTTGTGGGTCAGTGATCCACCCACAGCCCGTGGCTGGCCGGGTGTTCTGTGGGTCAGTGATCCACAGCCTGTGGCTGGCCGGGTGTTCTGTGGGTCAGTGATACACAACTCGTGGCTGGCCGGGTGTTCTGTGGGTCAGTGATCCACAGCACGTGGCGGGCCGGGTGTTCTTTGTGTCAGTGATCCACAGCCCGTGGCGGGCCGGCCCCGGGTGTTCTGTGGGTCAGTGATCCACAGCCCGTGGCTGGGTGAACCTCGTGTCTGGTGGGAATGGAGCGTGACGTCACCGATAAAGTTGCCGCCGGCACCTCCGGTTGGCACGTCCAAACCAGTGTGTGTGACGTATAAGACAATAGCACGATAATATTTCGAGAATGGCTGTTTCGTGACGGTGCTAGACAGTCTCACAAATCCAAACTAGGAGAGTCTGTTGTTACACTCAGTTCCGTTCTCTCTATGAACCCTCTGGTAGTCTGAGGCAATGGTCAGAGAGGCGAGGACCGCTACAGCCACAGTCAGCTGGCGGCCGGGGTGACGTCACTGCTGACCCTTAGGTCACTAAAGGTCATCAAAGGTCAAACTTCGGAAGGAAATACAAGAGCGTTGCCAAAATACCCTTTCAACCAGCAAGGTGTATGCTACGATTGCCATACTCAGAGCTCTTTCACCTTCCCAAATTATACGAACATGACAATGGGCCATGAGCTGTTATTCTCCTGTGGCCTTACCCTGTCAAGTCGCGTCAGCTCTATTTTGCGCAGTTTTTTTCCAGACTGGCATGATGTCACCGCCCCCCCCCCCCCCTTCTCTGACCGGCGCCAGGCCAACCGCACCACCCTGCCGGCGGCTATAAGGTAGACGGCGGTACCAGCCCGCCTATCTGACGTCCTTCCTGGCCAGCTCTGCGGCTGCAGTGGCCGTCACCCTTCCTGTGTTGGACGCGGTGGTTCGGAGCAGCGCTATTGGTGGAGCCCGGTGTCTCATCGCTCTTGTATAGGTTACTCGTATTTCGTTCTGATATTATGTACATGGCTTCCAGTAGCCCACATGTTCAATGGCTTCGATGTAACGGTTCGTTACACAGATTCCCATTATCACACCGACATCTGGCCTTGTGTCCGGTCATCGAAAGATGGGGATGGGGACGGGTGTTTATATAGTATTTACAGAGCTTCACAACACTGCACAATACATGTGTCATGAAAAACAGTCCATAACCAACACAAGGTGTTCGGAGAGCCAACATCAATGTCACCATCCATAGCATTAGTCATTAAAACTACATTTTGCAGTCGTAAAAACAACACATATCTTATCCCTCGCCGGCCGAGGGGGGGGGGGGGCGGGTGCCGCCCACCCCCCATAGGTTTTTTTTTTCGCGATAGCTCCGAACACGCTGGCGATAGAGAGCTGAACCTTGGCATACCTGACCTTTGATCCAAGCCGCATCTTTTGACACCAACCACATTTTTGGGTCAGGTCAGGTCACTGACCTATGACGTCATAAGTGAACCTCTGCACGGTCTTCAGATGTCGCAACTTCGCAACGCCCTCACTGCCAGAGGAGATGTCACAGGGAAATGAAACTTGCAGGATCTAGTATCCATTATGAGTCTCACAACTTGTTATCTCGGATTTTTCCTAAAGGTCATATGAGGTCAGGTCATTTTAGTGACCTCACCATTATAAGTCAATGGGGAAAATTCAAACTGCTATTCTGGCGCCGGGAACGATCTCCAACTATCTCAAGCACACAGAATCGTGATTTGATGCACTCCTTGCAAGGTAAGATGCGTCACTTTTGCAATGTTGACCTTGCGTGACGTCATTTATGACGTCATCAAGGTCATATTAGTTTTTCGTCAATAACTCTTGATCAAATTGAGATAGCGAGTCGGGAAAGCCACCAATGGACTCAGGAAGACCTGCCGAATCGAATGATATGCGACATGACCCCTTTCGACCAGCTTCGTGACCTTAGGGTGCTGACCTGACCTTGACCTGAGGTCAACACCCCATGTTGACCTGACCCGAACAATAAGTATATCATTCGACGCGCCTGAGCGAGGCGAACACGATGCTGCCAAAATCGCGGCTCTGCGGCCATTTTTTGCGAAGTTATTCACCAAAAACTGAACCGTACCTTTGGGCACTTGACCTGACCTCAGAGGTCACCGGTTGACCGAGGACCTTAAAATCGGGTACCAATCTCTGCGTCTCGTAACGGCGCACACGCTCGTTTTTTCCGCGACGCGCTAGCTCCACCAGGGGCGAAACGGCGAGGGGGGGGGTCGTACCCGCCCCCCCCCCCCCTCGGCCGGCGCGTATGTAGAAAACCAATAGGTCCGGCGAGGGTTATATCAACCATCATTATACAAACGCTATATGCATTGCTAACATCGCCATCACATGAGCACTGACCTTATAAGCATTAATAAAAATGCAACTGGTCTCGTTTTATCAATCTCAGCATCTACACTAGCGACATATTTCCGCCATGTCTGATGCTACAAATATCTCGCTCTCGACATGTTCTCCGTAGTGGCGCCTCCCTGAGTTTGTCACCGTGACTCCGCTGGTATCCTGAAACACAAACAGAGCAGGCTTGGATAAATCAAATATGGGTCTGGCTTTAGACAACCGAAACAACATGAAAAATACAATACACGTATTTATTAGCCCTGCGGCCGCTGGGCCTCCGCGCCACCCGCCGGCCGCTGGGGGGGGGGCATATAGTTGCCCCCCTTACTTCTGCGACGATATCGTCGCAACGCGAAGAGATAGAGAAGCAAAACTTTGCACACATCTTTCTGAATACCTAGCCGAGGTTGTGTCCGATTTGGTGTCGACCCCATTTGAAATGACGTCACAGCGACGTCATAAGTGAAATTATAGATTTGCGACTGTCAAGTCTCATACTTCACACGATATATCAGATATATGGGACCGAATATAAAGGGTCGATTATTGGTCAGAAACTAAATGGAAGTGTAGTTAGATGTTTTAGGATGACAGCATGTGCTGTCTAGTTCATTTACAGTTGAGTTTCATGCTCAGCGTCATCAGAAACGTCCATATCGGAAAACGACAAAACTTAATGACGTCACTGTTACGTCATATTAGGTGCTACAACCACCAAACTTTCCTCAAACATTGCCTAGGTATTCATTTGAAGCTATGCCAAGTTTCACGTTCGCAGCTCATCAAGTTTCGGAGATATTTCACAAAACGTAAAGGGGGGGCAACTTTATGCCCCCCCCAGCGGCTCGTGGTTTAGTATATATTGATTAACAATATTTTCTCGTTATTATGTAATGAAAACGTAGAATACTGAGAAAAAATCCACTAAGAAATTACCTCACGCCGGTCACTGTGGGTGGCGCCGCTCCTGGCCGTGCCGCCGGCGGCTGAGGCGCCGCTCCAGATCCTGCCGCTCCTGCCGGTGACGTCTCCTCTGCTCCTCCAGCTCCTGGTTGTGCCGCTCCTGGAGCTGGATGAGCTGCTGGCGGTGTCTTCGCGTCACCTCTATCAGGTTCCGCAGGTGTTGACAGCGCCGGCTCGGCTGCCGCTCCCGCTGTCGTGGTTCTGGTTCATGTTGTTGTTGTTGTTGACGTCGTCGTTGTTGTTGTTGTTGTTGTTGTTCTTGTTCTAGTTGTTGTTGTTGTTGTTGTTGTTGTTGTTGTTGTTGATGTTGCTGTTGTTGTTCTCGTCGTCGTTGTTGTCGCTTTTGCTTGTCTGAAATCAGAAGGACAATAGTCAATAACCCTCGCCCGCACATGCCATTTTCCC